TTATAGTGTTTAAACTGTATTTTAATTATTGCTGAATTATAAAATCAAATTTCTCTTAAATAATATAAACAATTAAAACGATTTTGGGTGGATTTGAAATCTTTCATCGGATTTCTTAATTAAATGTAAGGAAGAATTAAATAAAAAAAAGAATATAGCAAATAGATTTAGGTATTGGACGAGATCAATCTAAACCCATCTCAAAATGATCCCGTCCAAATTAGTTCCAAAATACATATGAATAGAGTTTGGTTTAAACCCATATTGCACAACCCCCTATTTCATTCCAAAACAGATCCCGCCCATTTTGCCATTTCTAGTGTTATTGAAGGCAAAATGATCGATTTATACACTTTTTGGATAACAAATTATTTACACAAATTTATCTACTTGAATTAGAAACACATTTGTCAAACATTATTTTATTTTATGTACATCACATCAAAAAGTATTATAATATTTTTTTAAAAAAATTATCCTAAATAATTTCCTATCTTTTTTTCTCTCAACAAACAAATAATAATCTCCTATACAAATACACTAATGTCCCCTATCTTGATTCGGGCAATCTGTTGTTGCTCAAAAAATTGTTTTAAAAATAAGGGAATAGAATAAGAATAAACATATTTTTGAATTGAAGATGCTCCAAATCCAGACATGCAGTATCATTGCCAGAGGGAAAGATGGGATGCTTCTTTTTATCTTGTCATGGTACTATTTCTTGTTTTATTATTGAATAAAATAAGCATATTGGGATCAATGAGGATGAGGATTTGGGTTGGAATTGTGTGGTTATTCAAGATTCATCGTAGTTGATTGATGGCTACGTATTCAATTCACTATACAATAATTCACGGAGAATGTGGGTCCAGGTGGAACTACCTGGCGGATTAGTATTATTTGTTAATGACTTTTCTAAACAAGCTACTTGGTTAGAATTTAATAATGAAAGTGATATGATTAGGGCCACTGATGAATACTTTTAAAATTTTTTTATTCCACTACAATGAGTGGACAAATTTGTCCTTTTCACACACATTTCTATGGTCTATAGTTATCCCTTAAAGTCTTCATTAGATGCAGTCCAAAGAATGTAATGATTTTTTTTTTTTTTTTTTGATAATCGAAAGAATGTAATGATTGCCTCAAAATCATCTCATTTTTATGAGAGATTATTATTATACTTTAACAATTAGGGATTTTGGACAGGGAAAATCGTTCAAAATATCTTTCGCATTTTACAAGATGACTTTTTTCGCCCCTCACTTTTAAAAGTATAATTTTACGTCCCTTATAAATTCATAATGATCAAATTTGGTCCTTACCTAGGTTTTTGACTAGTTTTTTGTCAGAATCACCACGTGACTTGTATGTGATCATTTTTTAAGGACAAAATTGTCAAATCAAATGTTTACATAATCTGATTCATAGTTCCTAACATCTTACAAAATGAATTTTTTCGTCCCTAACATTTTAGAAAATGAATTGTTTCGTTCCTCACATTTCAAAAAATGAATTTTTCCATCCCTCACATTTTTCAAAATGAATTTTTTCATCTCTCATTGATCATGTGTATGAATAGCTTTTTTTCTATAAACCCACGTATATGTCTATTTGATTTTATCTGAACAGTATGAATAACATGTAATTTATCTCTATTGGATTTCATCTAAACATGCTAATCGTAGTTATACACATGCTATTCAATAAATATATATAGGGGTTTAAAACTAATAATTTTGTTTGAACCCACGTATATATTTATATGATTTCACCATTTGAACCTATTTAATATTTGTGACATTTCTCTTTTGGTAATAATTTATTTATTAAATTGTATTATAAGGTCATATAATTAATGAGTTCTAAGCCGAATTTTATAATTGTGCTAACAAATTTCAGTTTAAATATAAAATTTCTACTCGACACTTTTAAAACCAACAGTTAAATTACTTGTCTTGTGATTGTTTTAAAATTTGAAAATTCCAATCACTTATTTCTTTTTGTCATACTTTCTTTTGTTTATTTTTCTGTCCAAATTTAATTCGATATAAACACTCGATAATATTTAGAATTAAATGTCTTATTTATTTTTAAATTTCGAGTAAAAGAAAATGAATATAAGTGAAAAACTAACAATTTTTTTGAACCCATGTATATATCTATTTGATTTTATTTGAGCAGTACGAATAGTATATAATATATCTCTATTTGATTTCACATGCTATTCGTACTGTTCAGGTGAAATCAAATAGATATATACATGAATTTAAAAAAAATTATTCACACACATGATTAATAAAAAATGAAAAAATTCATTTTGAAAAATGTGAAGGATGAAAAAATTCATTTTGTGAAATGTAGGGGACGAAAAATTTTATTCTATGAAATGTGAGGAATTATGAATCGAATTATATAAAATTTGATTTGACAATTTTGCTCTTAAAATATGATCACGTGTAAGGCACATGGTGAATTTCGACAAAAAACTAATCGAAAACTTAAGTATGGACTAAATTTGACTAATGTGAATTTGTAAGGGACGAAAAAAATTATTTTACAAAATGTGAATGACGTTTTAAACGATTTTTCCTTTTGGATACATAATGATTCTACCTTATAACACTCACTTACCTAACAGTCTTGAAACCAAATGATACACCAAAATTTTTAGCTGGTAATTATGCACGCAATTAATATGTTTTTGGGCGTCCTATGTGTGTGCTTATTTTAAAAATCTATAATTATTTTTTTTTAAAAAAAGTTATTGTATTTAACATCATGATGGAGAACAACAAAAAGGATTTGAATAGTTACACAACAATTACAAACGGCATTTTTTTATCATGAGATAAAGGAACATAAATAAATTGCTTACAAGAAAAGAAGGGCTCTTGATTAACAACACAACTATATGGTTAGGTTAAATTGTACCATCATATAGTAGTAATAGCCAGAATGATTCATGATCGTCCATCTACATTCGTTGTGATCAATCATAGCTGAAGTGGTACATGATGACGTGCGCGAGAAATTATTTTTTGTATACCATCCCATGAATTTGGCCACAGCCATTAATGTTCACAACCAGGTGCCAAAATAGCTGCTAGTACATGTTTGTCTTATCATAAAAATAATTCCTCCAATTTATCAAAAATAAGTTTGCTTCTTGATAAGATTATTCATGCGTCAAGACGAATCAAGAACGTGAAGCACAAGTCCAAACGAACTCCAATTACTTCATTGCTAGCTCGATATCCTATCACTCCTACAAACACTGAAAACTGCATGAATCAGAAGAAATTACAAAGGAAAATATACTATTGGGGGGAAAAAATGAAATTACCCTTTTATACATTATTGTTTTTCTTATCAACAGAAGTCATGTTTAAATGATTTCAATCTCCGTCGTCACTATACTTTAAAACATACAGTTCTTACATTAATAATAGCAAAGACTTAAAAACACATACGGTCGAAAGTAATAGGCGATGCGTGCTGATCAATTGAGTCAACTTATATTAATTTCTCTGCACAACGCCTACCATGTCCTGTAACTTCACTTAGGATCCTCGGTGACATGTTTTTCATGCCAACTCAATGCCACCTATAATATTATGTCAAGTGTAAATAATAACAGGACATTTGACATAATATTATAGGTGGCATTGAGTTGACATAGAAAACATGTCACCGAGAATCCCAAGTGCATGTCACCAAGGATCTCAAGTGCTGTAACTCTAGCCAATTCTCAATGTAACACGACATTAGATGCTGCTCTATGTGTAAGTCTGATGCTTACCTGTCTGCGCTGTCTATCTGCCACCCTGGACCCTCTTTCCTACTTGGGCAATTACAAATCTCATTTTCCCCTTGTGACCAATGGTGGTTGCACTTTTGCCCAGCATCTTATTTAATCCTTTGATTTTTAAGCTTTTTTTTTTTTTTTTTTGAAAAGTTTGTATTAGGGAAGGATAGAATTTAAGTAGCGAAGGAGGAAAAAAAAGGAATTTGAACCCAAAATTTCTATTTTCTAGGAAATCAAACTTAAGTACTAGTAAAACTCTTTTAACATGTCTATAAGCCCTTTAAACTCACAAATGTGGGAGTCAAAAATTCCTTCAAGAAAAATCCAAGTCTGGTAATTTTTATTTTGACACTACTATGGTTTGTTTTGATGTATATTTTCCTCTCTCAGGTTAAAAGCGAGAAGGTACATTAGCCCTTTTATACAATTTTGATTAAATATTGAGTAATTGACTATTTTGACAAACAAAATACAACTATCTTACTTTTTTTTAAAGCAAACTATAAGTTTAATATTCAGTTTACCAAAGTTTGTTGACATTGTCATTTCATTTAAAGTTGAATAAATTAAAAGTAATTATAACACTACATTTTTTTAAGGAAAATAAGTTATTGGAACTCATTATTGATCGAACTCGAGTCGAGTTTTGACAGAGCCGGCTCGCGAGTGCTCAAGAGTGATTTGATTCATTTGCGGCCCTAATTGTAATCTCGAGCAAACGAGAACAAAAAAAAAAAAAAAACGACTCGTTTGCGGCCGGCCCTAATTTATACAATAATAAGAAAGGGAGCAATAAACTGTATAAAATTTCTTACTCGAATCTAGCCTTGGTCGCCATTTAAAACCAAACTTGAGAAATTTAAAGACGTAGAAGACAGTTCTTAAAGTGGATGAAGAAAGTAGGAATAAAAAATCTGGATCATTCGCTCACACACACTACTTCATTTGGGTGGTTGCTGCGTGTGATTATGTGCATTCACACCTGTGATTGTCTGGAAGAAGGAAGGCGCCAGAGCGTTGTGCAGTAAATTTATTTTCGGACACTGTGACTGCTGTTTTTATCTGCACGGTGCGGACAGCAGGGAGAAAGGAGCATCTGTTTCACGTACCACTCCTGCAAGTGAAAAACTGACAATTAAGATCCAGTTACCGTGCAGATGCATCTCTTGGATGACTCGCTCTTACCGGATTATTGAATTTTAATCCCAGATTATGAACTTCACGCACATGAACACACACTACTGGGAGAGGTGAAAGCGTCTGTTGTTATAGGGAAGAAAGTCAGAACTGAAAATATTATTTATTATTGCATGTAATGTATGATAGATAGATACTCTTCCTCCATGCGAAGAGCAGTAAACTTGTTGGTAGTAGTAGTAGTATTATAAAGGAAGGATACAGGAGGGCAGCTTTATAAAAATAAGAAGGTTATAAAAGGTGGGATTGACTGCCCCACGGGTGGGCTCTCTGCCAATTTTCTTTCGTTTCTTTTGGTGCAGCTTCCTTCCTCGCCTTCTTGCCGGTTTGAGTTTACAACCGCTGAACTCAACGCCACCTCCCTTTCTTCTCTCCTCTCGTCAGCTTCTTATTAGTGGGAAAGAAGACGAGAGTCAATGAGAGAACTCCAAACAACCCCACAAAATAAAGCTCTTATGTCATAGTTAGCTCCAGACACCGCCCAGACATCAGACCCCCCCCCCCCCTCCTTCTCTCTTACTCTCTCTCTCTCTCTCTCTCTCTGTCTTCCTCCCTCCCTTCCCATCAGATAAGAAAAGAAGATTTCAAGGGTTTTTTTGTTTTTATCTTTTGTTTCTTTAATTTTCTTCCATATCCCCTCTCTCTCTCTTTCCCTAAGCAGAAGTAAGCAGGGAAGAGAGGGATGGAGATGGGATTGATGGAGTTGATCATGATCATGATCATCATCAATCATCAGGAAAAGAAAAAAAGAAACAAAGAGAGATCATCACCATCATCATCATCATCATCACCACCACCACCCTTGAACCCACCAAACCAAAAATTCTCTCTCAGACTTTAGAATTTTTAGGACTAGAGATTACCCCACATCCATTCGCCCCCCACAAAAAAAATTAAGCCCACAGCAACCCTCCCCCCCACCCCCCCCCCAAAAAAAAAAAAAAAAAAATGGAACTCACTGATTTACAGCAGCACCAAACAAATAAACAGACCAACGCCAACAATACCAATACTTCCTCCACCACCACCACCTGCACCACTTCACAATCTTACCACTTCTCACCCTTCCACCTCCACCACCACCACCATCAGCAGCAGCATGGCCGCTCTGCCCCATTTATAGCCTCTATCTCCATCCCACCACCAGCTGCCCTCACAAGCAGTGTTGCTGGTGCTACTAGTACAACTTGTGCGGCTGCAGCCGGTGGCAACCGCACCCCATCATCCGCCTCCCCCTCCACACCCTCCACCAGTGCTTCTCCTTCCTCCGCCGCCGTCGATGCCTCCTTAGCTATAGCCACCAGATCCGAAACCTTGATTGACCCCTCCAAGAAGCCTCCTCAACAACAGCAAGAAGCAGCCCAACAGCAGCAGCCACCCAAGAGATCCACAAAGGACCGCCACACCAAAGTTGACGGCCGAGGCAGGCGTATCCGAATGCCGGCTGCCTGTGCAGCTAGGGTTTTCCAGTTGACTCGAGAGCTAGGTCACAAGTCCGACGGCGAGACAATCGAGTGGCTTCTACAGCAAGCCGAGCCAGCCATAATCGCCACCACCGGCACGGGAACCATCCCGGCTAACATTTCAACCCTCAACATATCCGTCAGGAGCAGCGGCTCCACTCTCTCTGCTCCTCCTTCAAAATCAGCTCCTCATTCTTTCCACAGCGCGCTGGCCTTAGCTCACCACCCCTATGAGGAAGGGTTTTCCCACATGTTGGGTTTTCAGCAACAGCAGCAGCATTTGTTAGCAGCAAATCAAATGACGGAAGCGATTCCCAGCGGAGACGGTGGCGGAGATAGCGGCGGCGGCGGTGGGCAAGATGCCACGGAGAGTTATTTAAGGAAAAGATATAGGGAAGATTTGTTCAAAGAGGAAGGATCAAGCGGCCGCCAAGGAGACGGCGCAGATGAAACTTCACCTTCTCCTCCAAATAAGCAATTCAAAGTAGGAGGTGGTGGTGGTGGCATGCAGATACCGAAAACACAAGATGTTGGAGGGCCATCATCCGGCATGCTGAGGCATGCCAATATGATACCCGCCACTGCCATGTGGGCAGTGGCACCGGCACCCAACAGTGGTGGCGCAACTGGTAGCGCGTTTTGGATGTTACCAGTTACTGCTGGTGGCAGCAGCCAGACAATATTGGCGGCCACATCTGGCGGGGCTGTTCAGCAGCAGCCAACAGAGCAACAGCACCACCACCACCAGATGTGGCCATTTCCGAGCTCCAGTGGGAACACGCTACAGGCTCCCTTACATTTCATGCCGAGGTTTAATATCCCCGCCGGGAACCTTGAGACGTTTCAAGGTGGGAGAGCTAGCCCACTGCAGCTGGGATCAATGCTAATGCAACAGCAACAGCAGCAGCACCCGTCTCAGCATTTAGGTTTGGGAATGTCTGAGTCTAACCTGGGGATGTTGGCAGCTCTGAATGCTTATTCAAGAGGGGTTGGTAATTTAAATATGAATTCTGATCACCAAAACCACCCAATGGATCATCAACAGCAGCACCAGCCTCAACCTACAGATAGTGGAGAAGATGGTCCAAACAGTTCTCAGTGATAGTTTTGAGTTCTGATTTGATTCTGCAGGGGTTGTTTCACCGCATACCAATTCGTCCATATGCCAAGTTGATATTCTCAACTATATATGTACATGTATGTATATGGGAGTAGAACTGAAGGATTGATTGGCTGGGTTCGTTTTGCAGTTTCCAGATTAATTAGGACATGGTGATGAATTAAGTGCTTGAAGGATTCATGAATGATGAAGATTTTTCTCTCCTTGAAGAGAATAGTGAGGTATCTTCTTCTCCATTTTCTTTCGTCTGTGATCACTACTATCGATCGTAATTATTTTTTGGTTTGTATTTTTTTTTTTGGTTTGGAATATTTTCTAATAGTAGTAGTAGATAGTTATCGTGGAGGATTTGCCATTGTACAAGTTGTTTAGCTTGGTCCAAAGGGACATTAAGTAGAAGCGAAAAGAGAGAGAGATTGTCTGTATAGGAGGATTCCGTATATTTGTTGAGTATAATATTACTGATATTCCAATTTGTTTTGCTCATTTTTTGAACGAAAAAAAGGGGAAAAACAAACAAAAACGATCTCTCTCCCTCTCCCAGACAAGAAGAATCAGCAATGCAGACCATGGATCCGGGGTTTTTTTTTTTTTTTTTAAATAACAATATTTTAATTTTACTTTTTCTTTTATCATGATTATTTGCCCACTTTCCTTTGGTGGGATTCTGTTGTTTGGTAAATTCCAACTAAGGTGGGTCTGATAAAATTGAAATTTATTAAATTATTGAATGTGATATATATTTGAGTATATATCACATTCAATAATAAATGAATAGATTATCATTTAATTTTGAAAGCAATTTTTATCTAATAAATTCAGTGTTGCTTAATTAATTTCAGATGTTCAATTTTTAGTTATAAAAAACGATCTGAATATGTTAAGATCTGATTCTATTAAAATTAAGTGTTGAATTAGGTAATCAAACGGGATCTAACTAAGCGATGTTTCGGATAATAAATTGTACCTTTATACTTATCCATATATATATATATATATATATATATATATATATATAGAGGAAGTGTATAAACTTGTCAAGACCGAGTTCCATTTTGTTTGGAACTTATAAGGATTCTCTTATTGTTTTATGTTGCACCAAGGCAAGGATTGTTTGTAGGATAATCACGTCCAAAGTACAATACCGAGCCATTATTCAATCCCCTGAAAAAGAGGAAATAATCAATCAGAGTTAAAATAAGAGTACAACAACAGCGCTGCTCCCAATTCGTACTGGTACTTAGGATTTGGAGGAGCTACAAAATGTAACCCCACTGACTGACTGATCCAGTTCATTGTTCTTTGGTTTTTTTTTTTTTTGAGTGCATTCAAAGTTTATTTTTTTTCATTTTCTTTGGTACCGCATTCACACATTCTGAGGCTGAAACTGACTTTTTTTTTTTTTTTTAAAAAAAAAAAAATTTGTACAGTCAATTCAAGATGACTTCCTCGTTTGTTTTCACTGCTAAATCAATCATTGTCATACGTTGTTTATATTATTGAGAGGGGTGGATTTTGCTTTGTGGCCCGCCCGCTAGGTTTATTTATTTATACTACTCTGCTACTTTGTTGTCTCGAGAAAAACTTGAATGGTTTTGTTGTAGAAATAAGAAAATGATAGAATGATGTCCCTTATTTGGCATTGATCAAGCCGCTGTCAAAGGTGGAGCCAGCCCTTTTTATCTTGTTGCAGATCCTTTACTCCTTTTTCTTCTCCTTCCGAGCAAGCACTTCACAAGAATCCAATGCAAACTTCGTCATTTACACAAAACTGAACTTTCATGCATTATTTTTCTTCATTTGCACATACTTATTCGATCGTATTATGAACATATTTTTAAAAAGATTAATCCTTATATAGTATATACGTCATATCAAAAATGTATTATAATAAATGTTTTTTTTTTAAAAAAAAATTATCTCAAATAATCTCCTATCCAAACACACTCAGGCCTGTCCGACCGAAAATATGGGCAGGGATTCAAAAAGCATTGGTTGAAAAGCACACGCAGAATTCGAACATGGATGATGGTCGTGTGTCGGTATCTATTAATCCATGAACTTATGGTATGGTACTAAACCCTATCTATAGGTAGTGAGTGGTGTTATGACATTTTTAGCGAATCCATCAAAGAAAGAATAAAATATTAAGTAACAATAATAATATTATTGAAAGACTTCCCGCCATAATAATAGTAGTAATACACAGTTGGAGCTTCTTGCTAAGGTAACAGAGGATATTGCATGCACGGTCCCATTAATCCGTGATTTTCGCGGTAACGTGTAATCATTTTTCTTCTCATGCTTTTGATGTAACTTTTGTTTGTAATAATTATTATTGTGGCCTCGTCGCGATGATGTTGATGCATTTTCCTCTTTTTCTTTTTTCTTTTTCTTTTTCTTTTTTGGGTGGGCAGAATGTCAAATGTACATAATAATATAAAGCCTCCTCAAAGTCAATCTTCTTTTTTTCTTCCAAAAGACCCAAAAAAAAATTTTTAAAAAAATTTTTTAAAAAAGTTTTTATGGGCCCGAAATGAATTTTTTTTAAAAAAAAGAAAGGGAAAAAAAGAACAGTGAGATGAATTGTGTAAATGTTAGGCCACGTTCCCAAACTGGGTAGAAGCGAGAGGAGCTGAGAATTGTGTGGAGATTACTGTTTTGGGAAACGACAGGAAAGAAGCTCAAATAATGAGTTGTACAGTTTCCAAGTGGATGGACAGTTCAGATTCTTATAAAAATGGTGTCACATTATCACATGGGTCGCTCAGATAAGATAAAAGAGCAGTGGTATATTGCTTGCATCTTTTTCCCTTTTTTCCCTTTTTTTTGAACACAATTAATTGATTCGTGTTTTTGTATCATAGCAGTTGTGAATGGAATAAGTTCCCACGCTCTTCACGTGCGTGCGTCTATCCATATCATTAAACGCTGCTGCACGCACACTTCCGTCTTGTGACTTTAATTGTTCCGTCATTCTCAGAAATACACTACTACTTCTTATTAGAGAAACGGCAGTTCAAGTTTCAGACGAGTGATTTTTTGTTAATGAATGCCGGCTTCATTCTCAAGTTAAAGCTTAAGACCACGGGATGGGAATACTACGTGTTATTTTCTATTTTGTTGATGTCTCTTTCATTAGATGCTAATACTACGTGTTATGAGATGGTAAAAAGTTTTAGAGAAAGAAAGGAAACCGCGTCAAGAGCACAAGTCAACCTTCCCTCCCTCCCTAGTCCCTCCCTCCCCAATTTCTTCACCCGCACATGATTTACGACGCACTCTACTTTCAACCGGACCGTGTGCCAACTCCCCAATCTTTGGAGTTTGTGGAAAACACACAAACACAACACACCACCAATCTCTCTCTCACACACACACACGCACACACACAGCTAGAGGGTAGCCAGCCAGGTCCATGTCAACTTGTCAAGGAAAAAGCAAAGCGGAAAAGAAAAAGCATAAAGTTGATCCCCAAAATTCAATCAAAGCTGCTCCTCCACAGCCTACACGATATAAAAAAAAAAAAAACATAAGAATGCACTTACAATGGACACCCGTTTTCCACAAGCATGCCTGCTGATAAATCTCAACCTCGTGGCTCCTTTTTCTTCTTCTTCTTTTTTTATTTAATCTTTAAGGTGACGAGGCACCTATAAAAATGTTTGCATCTGAAGCAACCAAAAAAAGAAGGCCCAATTGATAAGATAAGCCCGTCTTTATAAAAAGGCAAATGGGGAGGTTTAGAAGTCGTAGTACATTATACAACACCACCCTAATTTAAGCTTTTAAAACTACTGTTTCTGACTTAAGACATGTACGTACAATTGCTGAAAACGAAATAGCAAGAGAAGAAGTGCACTGTGAAGACTCTACAGATGTGATGTCCATATAGAGAAGCACTTCCTTACCAACATATTATTGATTATTACCCTGCAGTCAGTCTGCCTTCATCTCACCCTTGACCATCTGTATATTATATCCATTTCACTGCTTCAAGAAGGAATTCTGGGGCCTCATTATTAACCTTTTGGGCATTGTTCAGGCTGAGCCGTGGGTAGCTTCAAACATTTAAGTTGCCAATCTATTTGTCACACATCTCATAAATTCCGCGACTTCAGCAAAGGCCTCATTATCTGACTAGACCTGCACTGGAAGAAAGACAGGACTCGCAACCTACAGATCACCACCAGTAATGATTAGTATCTTAAGTGGGCCACAATACAAGTGTGTTAATAACAGATGATAGATAATCCATAGCGTCTGCCCTCTAATGCAAACACGCTAGAAGCTGAAGTCAAATGGAGAAGGGGCTTAAACTCAACTATAAAATCACAGCCAAAAGATCATATTTTTGTCACACACATGGTGGATACAAGCAATGCTATGACAATACAACCGTCAAAATACACAAAACTCATCACTTGTACCCTGGGAAGTTAGCATAAGAGACCATTTAGTAAGACTTGAGCGTTATAAAACAACAAGGGCACAGCAAAGGCATCTGACAAGTAGTTATTCCTTGATATCAAGGCAAGACACAAAGCCACTTTTCTAGGATCTGTGGACAAGATTCATGCGTCCAACAATTTCCATACCTATCACATATTGCAGCTTTATTTGAAGTTCGAACTGTAAAATCTCTGAAGGGCATCATGAAAGAGCAAGATCCAAGGCATATAAATTCCAGAACCAACAACAACTACATGAAGATATACCAAGGGAAGTAAAGAACTAATGGCGAAGGTAACTTTTCTTACGACGCGTAATCAGCAGCAAAAAATATTGGAAGCCTTCCCAATCCAAAACCTTCCCATTGTCTTCTTGGAAGAGCAATAATTTTGTCAGCTTCTGAGCCTGTGGCAGTGAGAACAAACTGAAGATGGCAAAAATCAGCACCAAACCGTAAAAATTCAAAACCACAATGCTAAACATTCTTTTAGTTAACAGAGATGGGATGAATGAAAACATAAAGTTCATCTACATTGCAGTATAGCAATAACAGGAACTCACCACAATTGAACTATATCAGTTATTTTGGATGCAATGCAAGCCACAGCAGGTTTATTTAAACCGTGTAGGACTTACATTAAATTGGTTGCCTTTAAAATTCTTCATCTAAATTTGAAAAGCTAATAGATATCACATATGGGTACTTTAAACAGCATCTTTAGCTATACTCTCTGGTAATCAAGTAATAAGAAATTTAAGTATCACAACTGACCAATAATATTATACTTTGCTTTTCTCTTCATTTTTTGTCATAGAAATCAACCCCCCCCCCCTCCCCTCTTCCCAAAAAAAAAAAAAGGGAAAAAGGAGCAGAAAGAAAGACTGTAAATAGAATACCGCTCGTGATTGCACAGACAGGAAGATATATAATAGTGAGACGAACAGCTGCGACTTACAAGTGGGTAGAGTATAGCCATAACTCCGTAGCTAACCAGAGGAGAGAAAAAGAATATAGCTAGAATACAAGGGCATCCTGAAAGACAATTATAAGAATTCAAACAGATAGTAAATAATGCATCTCAGAAGAACAGCAAAAGACTGAAACTGATGTATTCCAGTTGCTTTAAACATTAAGAAGGCATCCCTCAGAAGTTTAAAAAGTTTTCTTTTGCCACAAGGCTTCAGTTCCATATATTCATGAAATAAAATCTTCCCCACTTGCTATGACAGACTCCATAATGACTTCAGGGACCAAAAGCATTAGTTCTTTTGCATGTTTTGTCAATAAAAAACTTATCGTCCAACGGAAACTAATCCACATAAAAGTTTGTCAACCTAAACCATTCAGCTGTGTGCAATCCAAACAACCAACTCAGATGAAGGACATAGAAAACAAAAAACAATGATCATCCATATGACGCAGGTAACAAATTACTTAATCACCAACAAATCCAACTGAGAAATCCAAACTACCATGCAAGCATTAGAAAAGGGGAAAGCACACACCAACACCTACTACTTATACACAAAGACATAGAATCAATACCTAAAGCCCCACTACCTTCAAGTAATTTTTTGTCTAGGAATATCATCTGGAGTTTGACCTCCAATAGCATATCACAAAATGCTCGCACAACCCCAATACCCCTCCATCAAGGAGGTGCCCAGGGGAGTTTTTCATTGGTGGGCAGGTGTGGGGAGAGGTAAAAGAGTGGGGGCAGCGGGAAGGGCAAATGACTTGTAAGCAATACATAGTTGAAAGTTAAAATCAACTTTTCTCAGAGGTACAAGGTTATACCAACTAGCAACTTATCCAGTCTCTATGAGTACATCACAATAGCAACAAACAAACTGTACATCACAAAGTTGAGGCAGTTTAAGTTGAAAATACACAGTTTGACGACATTCCAGTTACTGTAACCGTGTTATAGTATCATCAGATAACCTCTATGCAGTGTTCTGGAGTGGGACTTCTATAGGAGAATTTATTGTCCATTCAAGCTAACAATACAGAACTCCAACTAGATATTAACAGCATGCATTGAGACAAAAGGAAAATTAAAAAAAAATTACCAAAACCAGCAAAAAATGCCCAGTTTGATTCAAAAAAGTCCAGCCTCTTGTCCAGACTCAATCCCGAAAGATTCCATTTGTAGCTGAGAAACATAAAATTAAGTAACATGATCTTTTATCTAAATTAGAGCAGACAGGACATGACAAACAGACATTAAAATTCCACCACTTACTCAAAACAATAGTAAGCATACATCCAAGAAAGAAGCAAAAAATTTATTGCCTTTCCAATATACGGAACAAATCCAGTAACATAAACCTGTAGGCAGTCCAGAAGGCAAGATTTAATTATCATTAAATTACAAGAACTGAGAGCATTATCTTCTTGAAATATTAAAATCTATCTCACCTGGAAGAAGAAGAAACTTAATAGGAGTACTGAGTAGACCTGTTCAGCTATGCCAATCAAAATCCTGGAAACAAATGAAAAATATTGATGGCTGAATTCTGCAAAAAAAAATGTAAAAGCTGCAAACTTATTTGAGATATAAGACCTCATTCGGCAGCAACATGAACACCACCAATTAATAAAGACAGGAATCCTACCCCTCGAGGTCCATTGGTTTATCAGCATGACTCCTATTCTGCGGAGTTGGTGACTGCAGTTCATTGTGTGATTCTTCGCCAGCATGGCCATAGTTCGTGATGGCAAAAAATCCATACTTAGCAATGTCATTATACCTAGATGAAATGCACGTAAGTAAATATGAATGGTAAAAAAAATCACATTTCAGTATCGCAAATCATAAATAATTAATTGTCTTAAGCTAAGCACAATCATGATACATGATAAGTTTGAGAAACACCCAGGAATATGCAGTACAAAAAATGGATATAAGAGTCACACAGATTACTGTCCACCTATAAAGACTAAATACTCGCATATAATGATTAAGCCAAGAACTTAGATAACTAAAAGAGATATACAAGATCTTCGTTTGGCATTACAAGGTTACGAAAGTAAATTAATTTGTTCCATGTTGCTTTCAACAGAAAATCTGATCCAAACTTTCGAAATTGCATAAAGCCTGTCTAAAAGATTTGTTCTTTCACATCGGTTTCAAATTTCTGAGGCCAACAAGAGAACAGAAAATGATTAAATTGCTTTAAACAAATCCAACTAACTACATCAATTGTTGGTCGTCACATTATGATAACATCACTTGGTAGTATTTACAAATTATTTACCACAGAATTAATCACACTCTTGAGAACTGGATCATTAATGAACTTACTTTTGCTTCAGCTTAATCTCTAAAAATTGAGATTTGGATACATGAGCTAATCCTCAGGATCAAAAGAGCCCTCAGAAAATTGAAAAGCTTTCTGGAAATGTAACAGACTTTGAGAACCTAATCCTTATCCATGATTTAAACAATAAAAAGGAGCACCTACTGATATTTTTAATGACAGAAATAGACATTGTTTCACTCTTCTGAACCGTATTTTGTCCCTCAAGGCCCATAGTACAAGTAGCTCATCCAAAAAAACTACCTTTTGAAATAGGAAAAAGGTGCTATATCCATGATTTCATATTCAGGAATTAAAAGTGGAAGGAGATAATCCTGAAAGAGTCGTCAGAGAATAAGGCAATACCATAGGGTGCTAAGAATATAACTTAGTATATACAGGGGGTAGAACCAGAATACCTGCAAAGAATCATCATATCGAGTTATTCCTTTTGCTCAAAAGGGATTAATAAAATATCAACTGATAAAACTCGTCCAAAACTATAGTATAGATATTATCGGGATTTTTCATTTTCCAGCAAAAAGAGCAAATAAAATTTTGAAATTTTATTGAAACACTTGCAAGCAATGTTATAACATTATATTATAACCATATATAGAATTTGAAGCTAATATCAAGGTACACAAGTTGAAAATTCGCCAAACTATTGAAGTTCAACAATAGGGTTACTTACATAGAAGAGCTGTACAAGTCCTAGGCGTAAGAAGGAATAAAATCTCAAAGTACCCCCAAATGGGCATGATTCAAGAGAATGTTTGTCTGGGCACTGATTGGGTAGTATCCATTGCAGCACTGGGATTATCACTGCTTTTAGTGTCAATATACTGCACATCAAGAATGCTTGCTCAATGTCATTCAAACAGAATATTAAAGTACAGCTGACAGACCAAATAAAGGGAGAGCACAAAACTCTACCACTAGATCATTACACGTGAAGTAGAAATGAAAATTGAGAATCAACTGAAAAGTACAATCCGAAACATAGTTTCAAAATCAAGTTACAACAGAGTAAAATGGAAAAAGTATGTGCATTTCATAGAGCTAGGAACCCGCATTTGTTCTGCAAGGCAATATTTACTCTAGCTTAAGTAAGACAAAACTGATTGTAAATCTCTAGCACAGTTCTGGTATGCCTTAAAGCAATTGTGCGCTTTTTCTCTTTGCTCTTCAGTCATAACACTTAAAAGAAGTATCTAAGTGGATAATTCAGATTCTTGAGCTGTTAATCCAGAGCCACAATTATGTACTTGTGATTATGACATCAGACTTCGTTTTCCTGCTAACTCGTTGCTTATTCCTCTTTGGTACCAAGAAATAAAGAGTTATTATAGCCCTTTCCTCCTCCTCTATCATATTATGCTAAATGATTTAGTGGAACAGGTAACTTTGTAAACAAATAATGCGAGGTTCACTTGTCCTCTCAGGAGCTTAGTGTTCGCTCATGGGGAGATGGCAGGGTTTGGGCATTGTGGGTCCATGTCAGTTAGATTGCAAATACAATGATACCTCAAGGAAGGTAGAAAACAACAGGCTGACTAAATCGGTAAACATAGGAGGCACTGAGTATGATCTCCCACAGCCTGCAATGCTCCTCCGCTTTCAAAATAGGTGTATTTGCATCCATTAATTTTGAGAAACTCTTAAAATATGGAGTGAACAAAGTTGTTTTGTCGATGCCGTGCCTTATGTCAGTGGCGGATCTACTTGAAGGTCAATGGGGACATGTGCCCCCATCGATGCCCCCATTGACCAGAGGGAAATTTCATTTCTAACCATTGGATTTAAAAAATATTTGATTTTTTCCCTACTAATTTATGAATGTGCCCCCACTGACCACAGGAAAAATGTACATTTGAACATTGGGTTGTCAAAAAAAAATTGTTTTCACCTTTATATTTGGTACAAATTCAACATAAAAATGTGTCCATGAGTGATTAGGTAATAATTTTTAATAAAAATTCACATACCAGACATAATTCATCACTTGATTATGATTACATGTCCAAACTCAATACTATAATGTGTTTAATATAGTGTTGACCTTTTATGTCCACCAAAAATTCGTACGATAGCTAGTTGTAGAACATTAGTTAGTTCCTCGTGTCCTCTGGTCTTCTTATTGGTTATATAGGCTCTTACATGATACTATTGAGAGTGTGTATATTATTATTGCCGAATACTAATTGCAAAACTAAAAAAAATTATATTAATTGAGCCCCCACTGAAATTTTTTTTCTGGCTCCGCCACCGGCAGTGGCATATGTGCAACCATTTAATGTGTCAAAAAAAATAACAAAATTCAACCTCAATATCATTACTAAACTTCAACTCCAAAAAAGGACAGATTAACCTTCCAATTTTTCACCAAAAAATCAAAATTGCAGTTTGTTCTATCCACCTTGAAATTCACAAGAGGCTTAGTCATTACTGGTAAGACATGTTTGATTCAATGTTTAGAACAGTACACCATCCTCAGCCTAAATATAAAAAACGCCTTTTTCAACAAAGAGAAGCTCAATTCCCTCTCTCTCTCTCTCTCTCTCTCTCTCTCTCTCTCTTAATTTAGAAAAAAAACGACATTATTGTCAATCCTTCCAAATACAGCACAAGACATTTCCTCTAAGCATACAGTAGCTACATATAAGTATAACAGATGGACGGTAGAAGAAAAAAAAAAAGTTCCAAAAAATCCTCAAAAAAAAAAAGCTCTTTCAACTAACTGGGGACAATCATCAATTAATAAATGAAAATTGACAGAGCAAGAGAGATATGGATGGGAGTACCTTCCTAGAAAGATGAAGCCATTTAAGAGAAAACACTGGCCAGTACGGATCGTAAGCTCCCTCGACCTTCAATTCAACAGCAAAAATATTCATGAGAGGAGCAGCAATTGGAAGAACGGAAGCAGATGAAATATTTGATCAGCAAAGGAGAGAAGACCTAAGACAGTAGATTACGACACGGTGAAGACAGCAGGCTTCTCGGAGACCTTCCAGCCATAGCAGCGACGCCTGCTTCGATTTTGCTCTGAGAGTGGCCATCGGAGGGCCGAGGCTTTCCATGTCGGAAATTTGCCCAGAAATTAAATCAGAGGCTAATGATTGGGTCGTTTGAAGTGGGGGTGCGTCGTATACTACTTTTGCTCCCACGATTACGAACAAGGCAATAAACTCCTCAGCTCAGCTACGACTACAGTAAAGACACAGAAGGCCAATGCAGTCGCTAAACTGCTTGGAGTAGTTCTGGCTTCCAAGAAACCAACGCCAAGTGGGAAATATGGCTTTTACTGTATTCTGCGCTTCCTTTTAGCCCTTTGTGACATGGAAGAAAAGGAAATAAAAATACCAATGATGTAAGCTTGACAGGGAAAATTGAATTTAGGCCAAAGCAAGGTAGATTCTAATAATATGCCACCAGGCAGCCCTATGGCCTGGCGGTCACCACCAAGCATTTAACTCAAGGTGGCGTTGGAAGGTCAAGGGATTCGATCCTTGTCTCTCATCAAATTATCACTATATATATATATATATATATGTGGCCGTCTTTAATGGAATTTCTATTCTCATCGACTCCTCCTTTTCATAGATTAAGATAGATTAAGTTACAAAAATATTACCGTTGCAAAAATTATAATTTGGACCATAACAATACAACGTAACTCACAACTCTAAACAAATTGTTCTTGTGCTTCAGAATAAAAAACTACTTGCCTTTCTTGAAAAATAAAGCATACACATTAAACAAATACAACAAAACTATATACATGTTAAATCGCTGTGTTTTTGAAGGGGTATATGTAACTATAAAAGTTTAAGAGAGCTACATAAATTTAGCACAAACTTTGTGAATTTATGCCATTTTGAACTTGCATTTTCCTTTTCTCCTTTTCCTCTATATTTTTTGATTTAGGTGAAGCAGAACCATCATCTGCTTTGTGTACATTTCACCCAAAAGGAGGAACATTTATCCTATGAATTCGAAAGATTGGAGAAACTGTTTTCCTTTGCCCCTAAAATACAATACATGCTAGTCCACTCGTGCATTTATTTAATTTCTGTTCCAATTGTCTGGCAAAAAAATACATACATGAGGCAGTACATATGCTTTCAATAATTGGCATATTCTCTCTTAAAGTAAGATAATCGAGTCCACGTTCTTGAGATGCAAACTGAGAGGAACCATTTTGATTTGTATGGACAATCTACTCAAAGATTACATTACCATCCAGTCTTCCAAGTGAGTGCCACAATTTTAAGAGGCAACTATCTAGTCGGCCTTCTTTTTTTTCTATCTATCTTCCCTTTTCTTTTTGGTGTTGTTTTGTGGAAAAAAGAAAAAAAGAGCCAACAACAGTAAAGTATGAGTGAAGGAGAGGGAGAGATACAACAGGTGGGGGGGCAAAAACTCTTCCTTTCCTTCCGATTGTGTACAAAAGATCACATTTGGAGGCTCTGCCAAAATACAATTTCACATTGGTGTGGTCTCTTCTCCGAAGAAGCAGGACTCTGAAGAATGACGGCTGAAAATTATAAAAGGAAAAATCCCAAAAAATAATTATGTTCTGAGTGAATCCTGCCGCCTCAGAGGGATGCCTTCTTGGCCAAAACCATCCTCCTCATCAGTGTGCTTGGAAAGCCGCAACGATGTAGGTGTAGAACCTAAAAAATGCATGAACAAATGCAACATCACATATAATTATCATTGCTACATGGGTTCACCCCAAAGAGATGAAAATAGTAGACACATGGATTCAGAAGATCTTAAAAATCAAAAGTTCGATAAAAGGTTCAGCAAAAGAGAGCATAGAGCATACTGTCCGCCATGTCTTTTGTTTTATGAAGAAGAAAGGTCCCAGAAAGAATTGTAACAAATCCACACATCTCTGTCACTATTTGCGTTGGATTCTGCCTATCCCAATCCTGTTAACAAAACGAAATTAACAACATATCCGAAAAGGGTGCTGTTTCAGAAATTACATATTAAAGCTGATCCTCGTAATATAGCATAATGGGTAACCAATCCCAATCAAGCAGAAAGGCGATGCTGTTCTGAAAAGGTAAGAGGATTACCTTGAACATGATCACGCTAGCCAATATAGTAAAGGATGTAAACATAACGTAATAGATAGGCGAAACAACAGCCGTGTTGAATGTGTCAAGTGCCTGCATTCAACATTATGCATACATAAATTAGTAGAAGAGGAAAAGAACAGAATAAGGAAGCCCTTTGGTATGAAAAAAAAATTGATTTTTTCTTTAAAGCTGCTGCTCTCTCTTTCTCTTTCTCTTTCTCTCTGTGAGTTTGTGCGAGGGCAGACCAAACCTGGCACCTGGGAAGTGATCATCTGATTCTCAAAATTTTATCGCCTTCCCATAGGAAAGCAATATGTTTCACAATTGAAGTTTCAACAAGAAGATCTAGATTTTGATCCATAGGGGCAGTGATTTTGTGATATACGTGGGGAAGAATCATTGTTTAAAATCCCCCCTGGTGCTTCTTATCTTGAAACAAAGATGCTTCTTATCTAGAAAGAAACACTCACCAATTGATATCTTTTAACCAATTGATTTCTTAACTATTATTTCATGGAATTCAAAAGATCAAAGGAAGACAGCACAGTCAAAGAACGAAAAGCTATTACCTTATTCAAATAGTTCATTTGGGTAATGACACAAACCATCACCACCAAAGTAAAGAACCACGTCTGTGGATATACAAGTTGATTCATTCCTGATAGCGTTAGCTTCAGAGCAATTCCGAGTGCTTTGACACTCATGACCTGTCACAGAGTATCTCCTTAATTGATTTATTCTGTGTGAAGATTATGAAAGGATTATTTTTTTCCCTCTCAGAAAAGAATAAAAGTGTGCATACCGATAAAGATCCAACTAGCGAACACACTCCGATATAAAACAGTATGTGAGTCTGTCCATATTCAGGGATATAATGAAATATAAGGATCAGGACAGCTATTATAACCACAGCTGCATAGAAGAGAAAGGCTGCAAGAAAAATTTGCACTGACTTAGAAGGGCACGAAGAAAAAGAAGCAAGCGAAAGAAATGACCACCAAGCTTTCACCATTGCTCAAGAGACCAATCAAAAGGTTGGAGATATTAGAATTTCACCTGGTTCAGTAGCTAGCTGCCATACTTCTGCAACAGATTCAATTGCACGTTCCTGAGGAGCATGGAGTACAATTGTTGTGGAACCCACAACGCACAAGGCACAACCAAGAATTCCAAAAGTATGTAGCTTCTCTCGTAAAATTATGTGCGCAAGCACAGCACTGCAAGACAACTATTTAGTCAGTAAATGAAGCAGTGAAAATTACATCAAACCAACCAATGCGAGTTCATATCATACCTGATAATAATACTAAGTGCACCAAGGGGAGTCACTAAAATAGCAGGTGCAAATGCATAAGCTGCAAAATTAGCAATCTCTCCTACAATCACTGTTGCAACAGAGACAACCCATCAGATATATAATTGCATTTTCAGCTGTATCAGCCAACAAACAGTTCATGTAACTAATTTGCAGCAAAGTAAAAAGTTTAATAGAGAAACTTTCATCACTTCATGATGAAATAAAGAAACGGACAAATGGAATAACAGGAGAAAGAAAAGATAACGAGTAATCAAAAAAACATTAGTTCTAACAAGCAAACTAATAAAAGATCTTCTTCACAAAGTTTACTTGCTTTATAGAAAAAGGCATGCCAACCATCACAAAGAAATCAAGATGAAAGAAAAGCAGCTTCATATTTTACAAAGCAAAAGTTGGAGACTATGCTCTGAAAATAATGTATATTAGAGCACTCCATCCTCTACACCAGACCGGTGGACAATAATAAGATGAAAAGTGGAGTGCATCTCAAACTCCGGGATATAAGTCACAGGCCTCCAAGTTCTTTACTCTTGCAGGTAAACAAATTAATTTTTGACTCTTCTTTCCACCAGATTGGGAAAAACAACAAAGATCGGATTCAAGGTTGATATATTTTCCCTCCCCAGAGAACTACATGTGGATAAGTTGTTTTAGCCTATAATACAAGAACACTTTAGAAGCATTTGCTTACAAATAACAATTCTCTTCAGAGGAAGAGAAGTTTATCAATATATAGGCTAAGTGAAGATCTTGAGAAATGCAATCCTCAAAAAACGTAAAAACCTTCCTACAGTTTATATTCCATTGACATCCTTTAGATTTCTTACATGAAGTCAGTCATCATGTTTGAAAACAGGTTTCAGTATAAATCCAACTCAAAGTGTTAATTCATACTTGTCCCAAAATCACATAGGTGCCATCAATAAAGAATGCAAACAGAATAATCAAGAAAAATCTTCATGAAATCATACAGAATTAAAATGTTGATTCAGTTTCCTGAGTATTAACATGAAGCTCAGAAGTCGAATAACGGGACTCGAACTCTTTAGGCTATTACTTTCAGACCCTGTCTGAAATCTGAACTCGTACTTGTCTATGCTCTTAATTTCAACTACAAAGTTGCAAATTAGATTCTAAAGGATCGCACCTTCAATCAACAACTTCTAACTCGTACAAATCCTGGTTTTCAGTAGAAAGCTTAAGAATCTTATTAAACCATCATAGCTGAGCACCTGTGGCCTAACGAAACAATAATACAGCCATAATCCACCTTACTGCACCTAAAATCAAGTAGCCTGATGTGTCTCTAATCCACCTCATTACATGACCCACTTTAGATCAATTTTAGCCAACAATTCTAGATGCATCATAATACGAAATGTTAATGGTTTAATATTTCAAAAGATTAAGTTTACCAGATACAAATTCTTCAATTAACAGTCTTTAGACAATAAATCTGATCACAGAGCATCTTAAATATTATGTTTCTTATGTCTCAAAATAGTGGTTCAATGTTTCCTTCCAATGTGCCATGAAAGTTGTACACAGTATACAAAATGATTTACTAGATGCATGCATGAGTAAGGGATACGCGTTAGTTTTGTCTCATGTCCGTCTTGCAACACGCAGCCTTTCAAGTGCTGTTTGTGCACTGAAACAACAGTTAATCCCAGCATTTTATTACATCAGATCAAAGCCAAGGAGCTATTCTCCAACACAACTCTAGTTTTCTCTCACCATTAATCTGCATAGATTGTCCATGCTGTCAATTTCCACTATACTTCTGCAACAGGATGTCAAATTGGTTAGACCAATTATCGGTTAAACAAATTTTGGTTATCCACAAACTCCAACTCTGGACAGAGCCATGCAAAACATTCACCTATCGTCTCAAGGAAAACAAAGTAGCATATGAACCATCCGCAGTAAGTTCATTCGTTTTTCTAATTGGTAACTCTGCATGCATTTAGACGAATTTCCTTCTAAAAGGTAAAGAAGCAGACAAATAAGATCTCATGACCCGAGCTTAACATCATACATGGCAAAGGAATATGAATAGACAACTCACTTGTTATCATGCCCACCCACCAAAGTGGTTCATATAGGTACGAATATCCTCCAACTCCTGAAATGGAAAATGGAAAGAGCACTATAAACTGAAAAGGTGAACAAGAACGCAAGGTAGAAAAAAAGTTCAAGCAGAATGCATTCAGTAAATTAGTGGACCCTTTTAGTCCCAGTAAGTAATCACAATATTAGCAGTCCCACAACACAAGAGGTGCAATCTCCCTGACAAATGCTATTTATCAACTGACTTTCCGACTTGATACTGTAATCTCAAGGGGCTTCTGCAATTCAATAGGAGCATATTTCCCAGACTATGGCCCTGTTTGATAACCCAATTCAGCACTTTAACTTAATGGGTTCAGATCTTTACATATTCAGACGCATTTGATAATCAAAAATAAAACATCTTAATTAATAAGTGGTACTGAATTTTCTAGGCCAAACTTACTCCAAAAAATAAGTGATAAGTAAATAGCTTAATGCCAAAAAAAATAGCTTAATGCAAAATATGCTCAAATATTAAGATTTTAATACTTAATAATTTAGTAACTTAATATATTCAAACTTCAGATTTCAGATTTCAATTTTATCAAAAGTTTGCAAGATATTGTATGAAAGAAAAACGTCAGTGTTATAACCTTATAAGCATAAGGTACTTGCAGAGTCTTTCAAGTGCACAACATGATCCTCAAACTCACTCTCCAACATCCTACGCTGTGGAGACAATGGCTAATGGTATTTTTAGAGCTAACGACAACCATGTGGAAGATAAGCTTCAAGCTAAATTTTGGAACCATCTCTTTTTCACCCTGTTATTTTGTGTGCTCCGCATTTTTGAGTTTCTCAAACAAGTCACCACTTCTACCCTAGTTTAGGTAGCTATGTCGGCAGGAAGCACAAAATGCTGGCCTGGTGTGAAAAAAGTGAAATCTCACCAAGTTTTAAATTAATTGCGCCATTGATCTAGTTCCAACACCAATGATGTAACCAAACATAAGCATACATAATGAATCAAGTCAAAATACAACGTATTCCAGTCTTCCTCCGCACCACAAATGTGAACGCAGTCAATAAAGACCTGAAGTACACTACATCTGCTTATAAAAACCTCAAAGATCTCAACTTCCAAAACTCAAAACCATCCCAAATACAAAATTACTAGTAGCTCATTCCGACAAATAAACATCGACTTCCGCAAGAGCATAACCACCCATAGGAAGTATACATCCAACTAAATGCATCAATTTGAAGTCAACCGAAGAAATAAGAAGCGCAACAAAATAATGAGCAAAAATGAGATAAAATTACCCGCCCTGATGCCGGAAGCCCCCGCTTTCTTTAAACCCTTTTTCTTAACGATGAAGCTAGCTCCAATAAAGAGACTGGAAGACAATGCAAGAACTAGCCCTTTAATATTATCAGAGGACATGCCCTTGTACGAGTCTGTCCAGCTGCGCGAAGCCGCATCAGCAGCAGCAGACACCCCTTCTGCTGCCATTTCGTCCAAACAACCAAAAACCCTAGCCCTTATCACAATCTCATTTCTAAAATCAATTCCACAGCAACAACTCCAAAGCCAAATTTGAACTTTTTCTGGTGGGTACCTGGGTATTTAAGTGGATCTTAACTTAAATTAGGAAAAAGTTGAAAATTTTCACAAATTCAGGGGGATTGTACGAGTTTGATTGGTGGGGTGGGGGGTTTGAAGATCTGGGTTGAGAAGAGTAGTGGGTTGGGTTTGTAGGAAGGAGAGTGTACAGCTAAGACGGGTGTTATCTTTGCTGGGATTTGCTCAGATCGGAAGGTAAAGCACATGAAGCACTGAAGAGCGTTAGAATTTGTTGAGTAATTAGTTTTACCAGTATTAGGACTCCTCTCCGACTTCGTGTTGATGAAGACTACCCGCTAGCTTGCAGCTACTACCCGCTCCGTCAATCTCCACCGTTATTCTGCTTGGGTAAAACCCACTTTTTGCCGCTTTCTTTTTCACCTTATCCTTTCCGATGTATTTTCTGATTTTCCGCATCACAGATTAATTGTTATAAATGGTGATTAACTCTTTTTCTTTTTCTAATTTTTCATGATTATGGGTATTAGAAGAACTAAATATAAATCTATATTAAATCAATTTCCCATTGCCAAGTTGATGTCATTTTCTTACGAAGAGAAGATAGAAAAGGATGAGATTTGAAAAAAAAAAATGGCAAAATGTAGTCGTGGAAAATTATAAATTAGAACAGAACTTTTATTTCATGACCATATTATGTTGATTATTGAATTGGATTATGTTGAAAGCTTTAAATTGATAGATTTCAAAGATTTAAGAATGATGTTATAGTTGATCTATTATAATAAAACAAAAGGGAATTTATTATTTTTTATCCATAGGTAAATCCTAATTATGAACTTAAAAGTAGCTATACAACGAATAACTTGATTGAGCAATAAGACAATATGAATTATAAATAGAAAATTCTGAATTCAATAACTCCTACTTATTAAAAAAATATAAAAGAACGAGAAAGGTTGGACTTGACTACCGACACTATACAATGAAAAGGAATTCCTACATTTTTTGTTTAATACAATTTTAAAATTATTGTGACTCAATCAACGCTGTATACAAGACATATTTATCACAATTCAAGGAGGCTAGTGTATGAATTCAAATAATTACGGATGTCAATTGCGCCACACAATAAATGTGGTGGCACAGTAAATATATATACATTAATACAATAAATATAAACATTGGAATGATAGTGTACAAAGAACACATAAAAATTTGGCTTTGTTTGGATTTTTTATTTTTTGAAAAACAAGTTTTTCCTATACAATGTTACAGTAATATACAAATAAAAATAACTCAAAAAACGTCATATTTATACAATATATCATAAACAACTCTAAATATATCAAAAATTTTAAAAATAAGATTTACACTATTTTCTTCTCCCATCTATCACCACCACCACCACTACCACCACTATCGTCACCCACCGTCTTTCTCCTCAATCCTCTTCCTCCCTCTTTCTTCTCCTTCTCTATCCGCTTCCTCTCTTCCCTTCCCCTTCTCCTTTCCCTTCCTCTCTCTTTTCCTACCATACCCCATCTCCTCTCCTCTAACCTCAACCAGATCGAGACCTTTGGTTGTGACCAAAGGCCGCGATCTAGTCTCAATGAGGCAAGATTAGGGAGAGGAAGGAATGGGAAGGGCGGGGTGTGGCGAGAAATGGGATGGAAAGGAAATGATGGAAGGAGAGTGAGGGAGGAGGAGGAAAAGGGACGGGGAGAAGAGAGCATGGGGGAGAGAAAGGATGGTGATTGTGATGGGTGGAGTATTAATTTTTAAAATTATCTTAAAAATTTTTAAACTTAAAAAATGCCTTAAATATATCCCAAAAATACCTTTAAAAACATTTACATTAAAAGTTTTTCACATGCATTGTTACAGTAAAATATTTCAAAAATACTCCAAAAAACAGCTAATCCAAACGGAGCCACTTGTCATTATGCATTTGAATTTGAATACCAACAATTGTATGCTATTTGTATTAGATACACACCATTTCTATGCCCTCTTGTTAATTGGCTTAGAAGGCGTGCCTTTTAGACTACAAAGAATAAGAAATCTCGTTCGTTTTGTTAATCTTTGTGCATTTTGTTTTTCGAGAATATATATGGGAAATAAGCATTAGCTAGTCAGAATCATCCAAATGAATTAGCTGGTCAACTTCCTAATTATTCAAATGATAGAGGTTGTAAATCATTTTTTCTTTTTATTTCTTTTAGGCTTGGCCAACTGTAGTTTAAGAACAAGTAAGACACAGAAACGAAAAATGCAACAAGTCAAGAGCTATGCGAACAAATATGATAAATGATCATGAAATTATATTTTTTTTACGTATATTATTGTTCATCGATTATGTGTTTGATAAAACTGAAATTTGAAAACTAAAATTTGAAATTTGAAATTTGAATCCATTAAGTTATTGAATTGTTAAATATTAAATTAAATACTTTTAATTGTTTATAACATTCAGTAATAAGTGAATAACTTATCACTTATTTTTAAGAGTAAGTTTCGTTTAAAAAATTCAGATGATCAATTTTTTATTATCAAACGTATCTGAGTATATTGAGATATGAATCCATTAAATTTATGTGTTGAATTGCATTATCAAACATGGTCTGAGTTAACCCATCATTCATTTTTGTGCTGTCTATGGGTGAGTGAGATAAAATTGAAATTTGAAAACTTAAATCTAAAATTTGAAGCTAGAATCCATTAATTTATTAAATTATTAAGTACTAAATCTAATATATTGAGTATATATCGCATTAAATAATAAATAAATAATTTATCACTTATTTTTTAGAACAACCTTTGTTTAGAAATTTCAGTGCCACTTATTTAATTCAAATGTTCAATTTTTTGATATCAAACTTATATAAATATATTAACATTTGAATTTATTAAATTTAAATGTTGACATGGATTATCAAATACAGTATAAATTTAAAGTGAGCTTTTGCTTAAAAACAAAAAAAAAAGAATAATAGTTAAAAGATCAAAGATCAAAAACTCAAGAATGCAAAACAATTTGGTGTTTTGAAGGTTTCTATAAGTGTGGGAATTAAATTATAGTGACATGTGTAGCTAGCTATTCACACAACATATATTTATGGATTAATCTTTATTACGCTGATAGGATATATACTATCAGCATTGAATGAATGACAACTATGTAAATTTTGAATTTGAAATTTAATTTTTGCATATATGTCATGAATGTAATAGTAATGCTGACAAGGTATACACTATCAATGTTGGATAAATAATAACTATGTAAAATTTAAATTTGAAATTCAACTTTTGCACATATGTCATGAATCAAATGATAATAATGTATACACTATGAGTGTATATAAAATCAACTCTATATTTATGTATCAAATGTTACACTTTAGTCTCAAAAAGTTTCATTTTCGGTCTATCTTTAAACTAAATGATTTGTTTGGATTACTTTTTTTTGGTAAAAGTCTAATTGGCTGGCTTGTTTATGTTCTTAAAAAAAAAAATCCATTCAAAACATCACATGTAGTACAAGATACTCGTAAACTTTAAAGATATACAAAATAAAACACTCGTAAACTTTAAAAATATCTTGAATAGGGCATTGGTGCTGGAGGTTACTAGATGATGGATGGCGAAGGATATTTTAAACAAATACCAACATTTTATCTAAAATATTTATAATAAGTTACAATAAAATTTTAACAAATACCTAAAAAAATACACGATTTAAATGGACCCAAAAACTTTCCAATATACATCTACACTAAAGTACCAACCTTTCCAAAATATAAAAAAAATACACAAGAAAATACAAACAACACCTTCTTATCTACTTGTCCATTTTTTCGGCCCTTTGTTAATTAACTTCTTTCTCTTTCTTCCCTCTTATCCCGTTCTCCCTTCTCCCCACTATTTTCCACCTCAATCTCATTCTAGCCTCAATGCCTTAATCCAGATTGAGGTTGGATTCTAGAGAGAAATTGAGATGAAATGATCGGAAGAGGTGAAGAAAAAGAAATGGGAGGAATGGGAACGTATTTGGTCTAGATTAGGAAAAAAGGGAAGGAGATTGGGTGGAAGAAGGAAGGAAAAGGAAAGAAAGAAAAAAAATAGAAAGACAATGAGAGAGGAGAAAGTAGCTAGAGAGAGAAAGAGAGAGAGGGAGGCAGACAACAATGGGTGAAGAATGGAGAGGGAAGCTAGTCCATGGAAAGAAAAGAAAATAAGAGAATGGGTGAAAAATTAAGGGGGAAGCTAGTCCATGGAAAGAAAAGAAAATAAAAGGTAGCAAGATGGCCAGCAAAAGGCATAAAAATAATTCTTTATTATTTTTAAAATATCATATAAAAACACAATAAAAAACTCTTAAAACACTTTAACTAAAATTCTATTAAAACAGCATTTATATTTTGAATTTAATAAAAATGCCCTAAAGCACCTATGTAAACAAACTGAAAAAACTGGACTGCATTGGGTTGTTATAAATTTTGCAAAAAAATTGATTAATGAGAATTAACAAAAGTTACTATTGAGTAGATTTAAATTTTAACTTTTTTGGCTCAATGAAAAATCCAATACATAGGCAAATGAGAAGGAATAAAAAACTTAAATTATGTGAAATAATGAAATAAAAACAATCCCAAAATAGGATTAACTTATTCTGACATAGTAGTAAGAGTAGAGCACCATTTATAGCACATGCCTCCTTTTTTTTTGTGGGAAAATTACGTTGTTTCCTCGTGCATTATTTCAAGTAAAAATTAGACCCGAGAAAGGATGAGTTGTATGGTTCAGAGAATGAGAGGAAGTGTAAGCGAGAAGTATTGGAGTTCAATCCTTCATACTTACACTAAAAAAAATGTAAATATTATATACACTGACAGTGTATACACAATTACGGTTGGATGCATGACATATGAGTAAAATTTAGATTTTAATTTTAAATTCAGATAACTTATCATGTATCTAAGGATGACAACCGTCCCGTCCCCCGCCCCGTCCAGCTTGCCACGCTGGTGTCCCTGCGGGGTTAATAAAAATATGTTATAATTTTATTGTAGTTAAATTTTAGCAAATAATCAAGTACTAAAATATCAACACATCATCAAATTATTATTCATTGTAATTTCACAATTGAAACTTATAAAAACAATCAAACAAAAGTTATTTGAATACAATACAACATGATGAAATAAATACAACTAAAGTAGTCAAATTTTTACTTTTGGCACAAATACAATCACTAATTCATTATTGTACTTGTGTTTTTTTTTTTGGAGAAAAATATGTTATTATATTAAGTGTAATTAGGGATTTAGTATAAATGTATTAGTAAATTTAGTATAACCAATTAATAATTTGTATTAGTACACATTTATAATTATTAGTATAATTGATAATATAAATTATATTACATATATACATTATATAATACATATAACTAATAATATTATTATCATAAGTTTGTAACTAATTAAATTATATATTATATATATAATTATATACATATATATATTTTATATATTTATTTTTTTAAAACGGGCTCCCGTCCCCCGTTAGGGCTGGCAACGGGTCGGGTCCGGGCCGGAATTCATTATTCCGGACTCGGACCCGAATTACTATGCCGGATCCGGACCCGACCCGTTTACCCGACGGGTCTTTTATTCTACGTTCCGGATCCGGATCCGGCGGTCCCGGATCCGGATCCGGGTCTACCCGAACAAATTTATCAAATTTTATAATTTCTAATAAAAATGAGAAAAAAATATACTTGTAAACTAATTTCTAACTAATGCAAAGAAAAAATCAAATAAGAAAAGAAATCAAATTAACTTTATTAAAATACATCACCCTAATCAAATTATATTGATAAATATATATTTTTTAAATTATTAATTCATTTATATCCGAATCCGGGTCTAATACGGGCCGAAATACTATATTCCGTATCCGACCCGTTTTTTTGTTTGATAAAACGGATCCGGATCCGGGAAACGGAATTAAATCCCTACCCATACCCGCAATAATTTCACGGATCCGGGTCTAGACCCGACCCGTTGACAGGCCTATCTCCCGTCCCGTTTCTAAGCGGGGGGAAAACAATTCCCCCGTCTCATTAGCCCTCTGCGGGGCGGGTCCTTACATGTATATAATGGTAATGATATATATGCTGTTAATGTATAAAAGATTAATTAAAAAAAAAGTAAAACTTAGACGAATGCAAAGTATTAAAATGCCGCGTGTCAATATGTAATGGACTAGTTGTGCGATTTTCCGTGATCAAAACATAGCTTGAAGGCACAATCGTGGATTACCTATTACAGAAAATGCAACGGCTTATGAACCAAACTAACACGTTTTATCCGAACAAAACCAAACTGCAACCTGTAAAACGTGCCCCATATGGGTCCAAATTTCTTTACTGAAGAATCTAAGGTTGTGTTTGAATTGCATTTTTCATGATTTTTTATGGAAAAATTACTGTAGCGATTTGATGTATGTGAGGGAAAAAGATAATAAGGAAATGAGATCACGAAAAACAACGTAATTTTCTGACGAAAAATTGCAATCCAAACAAGGAAAATTTCTTTACTGAAGAATCTAAAATTTTATTTACCGAATCTACCCCAGACCCTGAGGCCCATGTATCCAGTCACTGCCACTTCTAACTCATCCCCGCGGCGGCGATTAATCTCTTCCCCACCAAAGCCGCCTGTCTCCTCCTCCTCTCGCGTCCCGCATTTCTTTTCTATTGTAATATATTTTTTTTGGCTGGTGAGAGATAGAGGAAAGCAAATTCGACATTTTTCAAAACTATGTCAGCTATCCAATCACTATCTCCGCAGTTTCTTTATTCTTCAGCTTCTTTTGCTGTTAAATTTTCAGTAAAATTCACCGTCTCGCGTTGTTCATTGGCGCCTTCACCAGTTACTGTGGCAAATGAAAATGCCGAGAAAAGGCCTCAGGAAAGAAATGAAATTCGCCTCGGCTTGCCGAGTAAAGGTCGTATGGCCGCCGACACTCTCGATCTTCTCAAGGTAATTCATGCTAGCTCTTTTTTTTTTTTTTTTTAAATTGTTCGCGGTTTATTCTTCCATTCTCATATGTAATAATCCGTGTTTTCATTTGATATTTAAGGATTGTCAATTGTCGGTGAAGCAAGTAAATCCACGGCAGTATGTCGCGGAAATTCCTCAGGTATGTAGCAGTATGGCTTTTAAAAATTGTCATTAGTCTATTTTTCACACTTAATTATTCCGTAAGCTTGCGTTTAATTCTACCGGTTGGTAATTAATGCTTAATGTGTTGTGTTGTGAAAGCCTTATAACACTCCTATGTAATGATAAAACGAGAAATATTTTTTTTGCCTTTGTTTAACTGATATTGACCTTTCTTAATCTCTCTTACAGATCCCGAACTTAGAAGTTTGGTTTCAGCGGCCAAAAGATGTTGTAAGAAAATTAGGGTCTGGAGACCTTGACCTTGGTATCGTTGGTCTTGATACAGTTCATGAATATGGTCAGGTAAGCGTCTGAAGCCCATAATGCTGATTTTCTATTGAATCAAGAAGCAGTTTTTTTTTTTTACTGCACGCTAGGATTCACCAAAAGATTGTAACAGAAGCTAATGGCACATTGCCTTATCATGGATATGTTAGTCATTGCCCGCCTGCATGAGTGTTTTTACGCCGCATTCTATTGCTCTAATCTCATCATATTCAAGTTGCAGTTAGTGATTGCTTCTAAAATATTGATGTTGGCCATAGTCTCTCCAGATTGCACACTCCTTTTGCCTTGTCAGTTAGCTTCTGATGTTTCAGTCTCTCTATGAAATTCTAACTCTGTTGGAAGCTTTTGGAAGCATAGGGGATCTTTAGCATGTCATTCTGTTTTCATAAGCTTCTGCTAAGTATCCTTTTGGATTCTTCTCAGTCCCTCATGTTGCTTTCAAAGTCAATGCAAAGAAGGCAATGTGTGTAATATTAAGGATCGATGTTTTACAGATTAAATAGCTAGTTGATTTGTCCTTTAGATCAAATGAATTGGATATTTAACGTAAAAGAGTAGTGACTATCACATGTGGAGCTTGGTGTAGCTTCTATGTTCATAAATTTAGCTATACTAGAAGAAATTTACTTCAATTTTGGGCTTATGTTCTCTCCAAGCTAAATGCTTTATAGTTGCTTGGCTTGTTTGTGAACTAGATAATTGAAGTAGGATGTATGACATTTACTGTGAAAGTTAATTTTCTCCAGTTAGCGAACCTTGTAAGGAAACTGATAGGAATGTAAAATTGGTTAAATTCTTGTTTAAGTTTGTCTATGTACTTGAAGTTCTAAAGTTTTTACTGCAATTTATGTTTACCATTTTAGCTCTTGCCCCTATCCAATCATAAGGATGTGACTGATTGATTTCTTTTATTAGGGGGATGAAGATCTCATCATCATTCACGATGCTCTAGATTTTGGAGATTGCCGTCTATCCCTAGCTGTAGGTCGTCAGTTTTACAATCTTAATATTATTGAGAAAAACATTGTTCTTCCATTATTCCACTGATACAGGTAATTCCATACACTTTTTTTTTTGGTCAGATACCCAAGTATGGGATTTTTGAAAATGTGAATTCCATAAAGGATCTTGCACAAATGCCACAATGGACACCTGAGAGACCCTTGAGAGTTGCCACTGGCTTCACCTATGTATGTTTTGAAGATTTGCATCTAGTGTTTAATTTTTTCCTTTTTACTTGATTGTGTCTTACTATTCACTTGGACATGATGCTTTATTCAGATGGGTCCTAAATTTATGAAAGAGGTTGGATTAAAGTATGTTACCTTTTCAACAGCTGATGGAGCCCTAGAAGCAGCTCCTGCAGTAAGTCTACTTTTGTACATGTTATGTTCATTTAGTCACGGTTAAATGCATTAGTGCAAAATGAACTACAGCTTCCATTACTTCTTCTTGTCTGTTTGTTGTGGGCCTCAAATCTGCAAAAGAACTAAAGAAAATTGGAAAATTTGAGGGTGACAGAAAAGATGAAAGGAAGTAGAAAGGAGAGGTTAGGGTCTGATGAGAGATCAGTTGCTGAAATATTACGGCTAGCTTCTTATCAACTGTACCAGCAAGGCATAAAATGTTGGATTCTTCCTTAAGAAACATGAAGTTACTAATCATTTTGATATCCATCAGCAAGTATTCAAGAATTATGAGTTGTTGAGTCTTGCTGGAATTTTTCTTATGAAGCATAACCTAAATTATTGAGTTCTGAATTTTGAGCTCTCACTGAAATTGTCTAGAAATTCTATTTTTTTTAGCAGTATTACATAACTGCTCAATTGCATTGGACATCTGTCCTATTTAAATTAGCTAGTGTGCTGCTAACCTCTATTTTTCTCTTGTTTGACTTTCCTTTTTCAAGTCATGAATTCAAATGTGTAATTTGGAGAAAATTTCTCTCTCTGTTTCACTTGGAACTTTAAAGCATGTGCTCTGGCAAATTATTACCTGAACAAGTTGTTTTGTGCTCTAAACATTGTTTTGGATCTTTGTATCTTAGAAGATTATGACGCTATGATGTTTCTCTACATTTTGGTTGCTGTTGCTTCATCATGTTTCTTTGCTTACTTTTTCTTTCAAACTTAGATGGGGATCGCTGATGCTATAGTGGATCTTGTAAGCAGTGGAACTACTTTGAGAGAAAACAATTTGAAAGAAATTGAAGGCGGAGTTATTTTGGAAAGTCAGGTGATCACTCTTTTCTTAGTATATACGTTGAAAGGTTCACAGCTTGATAAGACTGAAATATATGGAGAGGAGCCTCTAACTAATGCATTCTCACCATTTGACTTTAATTTACTGCTTTAGGCTGTTCTCGTTGCTAGCAGAAAGTCATTGGTCCAGAGAAAAGGCGTGCTTGATGTAACTCATGAAATGCTTGAAAGATTTGAGGCACACTTGAGGGCTAGCGGTCAGTTCACGGTATGCTTAATTTCCCTCTTAAATTGTTTATGCGACTGTTTGTTGTCATGTCTATGTTCTCATATTGTTCACCATGCAGGTAACTGCCAATATGAGGGGAAGTAGTGCAGAGGAAGTGGCTGATCGAGTACTAAGCCAACCATCATTATCTGGTTTGCAGGTGAAACAAATCGATCCTGCGTAAAGACAAAAGAAATACAAAGAAAATATTGAACATAAACTTGAGAACTATGACATCGTATTCTCTTGTTTGCAAGAGGTTTATTAACATTCTTTGAGTTTTTGTTTATCATCAGGGACCCACTGTAAGTTCAGTTTTCAGCAAAGGCGGGGGGGTACTGCCTGATTATTATGCTATAGTTATATGTGTACCAAAGAGAGCACTATACAAGTCCGTTCAACAGCTGAGGGCGGTGAGATTAGTAAACTCTTTATAGCTTATATAGTGGCGATTTGAATACCAATCTCTCCCATCTTTCACCACCAACCTCCACCTTTTTCTTCTGACAATAATAACAACAAATTAATGGGGGTGAGAATTGTGGGATCTGTTGAAGTGGATTGCCCTAGTTGGTAATTTATTTTATGTTTGCCTACGTTTTGTACACTTTCATCACTTGTAATTTTTGAAACTGCTAAATTTCTTATGGGTTTGTAATTGGCTGGACTGCCATCATGGTCCATCTGTTGTTATCTTGCTTATACTGTTCCTGATCTTCTAATCAGTTCAAGAAGTGTTGAAAAGATTGCTTTTTAGGCTTGAACTATCTCAAACAATAGTTTTCTTGTATTATCTGCATGATTCAGTTTTTATTGGAACCAGTAACATGGGAAATAGACAAAGCAAATCAAATCCTAACCAATACTGAGTGGAAATTTTGTAAGGCATCAAGAGTTAAGATGATTTGAATATTGTGGAGGATCTTTTTCTTGCACTGTAAGAATGTGCTTTGAAAGAACCTTGATTCAAGTGACTTTATTTGCTCTTGTTCCTTCCTACCTTAGTTTACATGCACCCCATGGACCTTTTAAGTTTGAGCGGAGTTTTGGATGCTAAATTATCATCTAACGCATCCTGCCTGCCCATCTTGTCCTATTGGTAGTCTTTTGCTCTATTGGTGGTCTTTTGCTATTCCAAGGTCTTTTATTAAGCTATGTCTGTACCCTATTTTTTTCTCGTCCAGCCACGTTGATTTTCTTTTGTAGTTCTTTAAATTCATTCCATGTTTGTGATGAGCCATATCAACGTTGCTTATGTTCTATGCTTTGTCTGGTGCAGATTGGAGGTAGTGGTGTCTTGGTTTCTCCCCTGACCTATATCTTTGATGAGGAGACTCCCAGATGGCGCGAGCTTCTTTCAAAATTGGGGCTTTAGTCACTCTATTTCACGTTTGATGTTCAACAATCTCCGGCATATCTGGAGGTCAATGCAAGTCTCGAGCTTACCAGCAAACTTGGAGATATGAAGCTCTGATGGTGTGTGTTCAAGTTTTGTTTGCAAAAATTTTCTTCATAATTTCTGTATCGGTTTTCTGTAATCTGTGATGGTAGTATTCTTTGTTGGCGCGGATGAGCTCGGCTAGGTTAGCCTAGAAGTGTAGTTGTTACACTGGCACAATTGGCTTGACTTTTTGCTAGGGTGTTTGCAGATAAATTACTTCACTTCTTGGTATGAGAACAATTATGTGTGTGTGTTTGGATAGGATATTATTTAAAATATTATGGTATAATTCTTGTAGCATTTTTATAATGTGTTGTGTGCTGAGATTAAAAAAAAAGTAATTAAAAATATAAAAGAAAAAGGTAGTTGAGAAAGTATGTTTTTGATGCAAGTAAAATAATATTTACGGTAGTGATAGCACGTTTAATTGTTTCTGGTTGTTTTATGGTAATTTCCTTTCTCCCAATATCCTATTTGTAAATAAGTGGTGGGTTTGAGTGGTTGACACCAATCAAAACTATAGATGCCATATTGTCTATGCGCCTTTAGGACTTTTACTGCATGAGGCGGAACAGACAACTGCTTACTGACAAAAAAAAAAAAAAAAAAAAAAAAAAAATTCTTAGTGAAATTGTGTAACAACTTTTGTAACAAATGACGGAAGGCATTTGATGAAGTTTCACATAATAATATCAAAATCACAATTAATATGACTTGGACGAAAATTTGCATTATAACTAACTTCCAAAAGCAACAAGCAGTTGGTAGAAAATAATAATATTTACATCTACCTTCAAAAATAGATTTCTAGTAACATAAAAACAAATTTGCAAAGTGCATTTTGTTTTAGTTTACTTGAAAGAATAACAATTAGGTTCTTTTGTCTGAAGGGCAATTTAAAATTTATTCCGACGAGGTTATAATTTTCAATATGTAAACCATCCATTGTATTTTCCAAAAAGAAGAAGAAGGAAGAGAAAAAAACGAAAGAGTTACAAACAAAATATTTTTCTGTTGATTTCCAATTAAATTTGTTTACGTTAAAGTGCAATTATTTTACTCAGAAGGTTCATTTAAAGAAAATTTTCCTCGAAAAGAAAAGATTTATGCACGAAAACATGGAAGAGTAGGAAAATATTTATGCAACTCCTATTGACGATGCAGATAGATTAGCCGCCTTTTTCATGTTTTTCCTTTTATATTATTGGAACGCACTATCTAGTCTACGTCGTCGTTTCTACGATTTTGCAAACTCAGGCTCTGTTTGGATTCAGACTTTTCTGAAAAATAATTTTTTCATCTATAATATTACAGTAATACACAAATAAAAATAATTTCAAAAATATCATATCCATACAATATATAAAAAATAACTCTAAATATATAAAAAATACACAACTATCCATCACTTTTCACCGCCACGGCCATCACCTTACCGCCACCACGACCCTTTCTCCTCTCTTCGTCCATCTTTCCTCCCTCTCTCCTCCTCCTCCATTTTTTTCCCTTCTCTCTCTCTTTTCTTCTTTCCCTTTCCCCGCCCCCCAATTTCCTTCCCCTCGATTGACCGCAACCTTTCTAGTCACAATTAAATCTGATCGCGACCAGAAGCCGCGATCAAGACGGTCGTGGTGGCTAAACTCGCAGCCACCACCCATGAGTGAGAGAGGGATTTGGGGTTGTGGGGGAGGAGGGGAGAAGGGTAGAGAAAAGAGGGAGGAGGAGGGGGAGAAATAAGAGGGGAGGAGGAGAGAAAGAGAAAGGAGAGAGGAGGAGGAAAAGGGAGGGGATAGTGGTGGGTCGTGTAAAATTTTTAAAAGAATATTTCAAAAAAATTATAAAAATTCTCAAAAATATATTTTAAAAATACATCTAAAAATATTCCAAAAAAATCTACAGTAAAATTTTTTCCATATACACAGCTACAAAATTTTTGAAAAACACCTCCAAAAACAGTTAATTCAAACATAGCCGAGGGTTTATCATAAAAGCATAGAAATGTATAAGATACGCACCCTTAACACAGTTTTTACTGTAAAGCAAAAAGCTAAATACGTAGATACACCAGGAGATAATCGAAATGGAAGTTTGTAATACAACTCATAACTTTATCAAACACGTAAAATGATCACAAATCTCCTCTGCTCCCTCAAATAAATTTCTGTATATTCAATTATTTGAAACTGATGCTAAAACATTGCGATCTAATAAGGTTGGGGCTGTACAGAACGTAGTTACCCAGGGCAAATGTCAAAGCATCCCTCTACACCGTATAGATCATGCTAGTCTTTTTAATACTTGATTCTCTTTTTAACATAATTCAACATTTCATACTTTGGCTGTCCAACAGTATTCAACTCTGGGATCGGGTTATACAAAACAGCACAAAAAGCGTTCAAGTTTTGATGAATAAACCTCATGTAGCTGTATAACGTAAACATCTACTGCAATAGCTGTACGGCTGCAATGGCTGGGATTTTTTCTCGTAGTTTCTGAGTCACTGCAACACGAACAGTCATCACACCTGCCGCAGGACCAGTTATCCGGACCTTCACTATCGGCTCCTCAATTCTGACTAGTTCCAAACTTCCACCAGCAGCACCAACAAGGTAGGGTCTTATTTCTTCAAGGACCTACAAAAATACTGACTTGATTAATTACACACTTGAAAATGAATACAAAAACAAATATAATGCAATTGGAGGTTAAAATTCAATCCCCCATAAGAAAGATAGCATGCAGACATGTGCAAACACAAGTGAATAATATGTACAAAAGAGGAGTGGCACTGCAATTTGAGCATTCACGGACAAGGGAGCATGTGTAGCATGACAGAATCATAATTACCGGAAAAGTAATTATCCATGGTAACTTATCAAGGAAATGATGAGAAGACTCCTCAGGGTAGTCTTTGTGCTATTTACAAGATCCTAACGCTGTAAGCAGCCAGATGACAGGCTTGCTTAAAAGCAAAGCAGCGTGCAGACTCAGACGAAATTGCTGCAGAGGAATTGAAAACGTGACTTTCTACCAGGAGATTAGAGTGCAAGGAGAGTCCATTGGGATTTGTAAAATATTCGCCTGATGCCCATTTTATGAAGCCTTTAGCGTTTCTTTAAAAGAACACTGATATCTAACTGAAGCTAGGATTAAAGAGTCTAAGAGCAATAATAGATGTTTAATATTTTTAAATCTAAAGGGGAAAGAATAGGAGAAATCTTGATCTTAATTGTGCAGTCAAACTGATTCTGAGTACCCAAATAATTCAAATTACCAAAAAAAAAAAAAAAAACTCAAAAAGATTCCTGATCTCTCTGCAAATTTTATCCAAATTAATTTCCAATTTGATTTACAACTGAAAGTCTGAGATGCTACTTTGGGATTCTAGCTCGTCGATATCAAGTCCTGAAAATTTTGCATGAAGACATTGTAAACAACTCCAATAGAGCTACAATCTATTATTTTACAGAAGACTCAGAAAGAGCTAATTTATTTTGTTATTGTCATTGTTGACTTGTGTGATGCAATTTATACAGAGGTTTGACTGAAAAATTGAAATTCAGAGAAAAATGTATAACTGGTAAACCACAGTAAAATCTTTTACTTCCTTTTGGCACTCTAAAACACTTGATAGCTTCTATAGTTGGTGACTAAGGTGGAAACCAGAAAGACTTCGATTAATGTAAAAGTCCCTAAATCAATTTAAAACTCAACCGTAAGAAATTAGCAATTAGCAGAGTTATGCACATGACTTTGTAGCTACGCATCATTATCAATGGCAACACTTTTACACTTGCTGATTGAAAAACAATACATCTATAGGATATATTACTTAAAAATCTTTGTTGAATAAAATACCTTATCTCTCAGGGCTTTCAGCCAAGTTGGGACACCAAATCATTGTAGAGCACTTCAAAACTTTCTTTTTTCTTTCGCCCCCCCTTTAATTACCATCTATTTCTGACATACCAATCCTACAGATCCACTTTTCAGAAAGATGTTCGCCATCATTCTCTAATTTGCTCGAGTTCAACTAAGGCCCATGCATGCTCAATCTTAATGCAGTCAGCATCTCACCATTTTATATTTGATTAAGTGGAAGTATGTAAACCATAATCACGGATCCGAAAAAAGGATCCCTTAAGTGAATCGTGAAATAATCAATAGCCATAATATCCCTTCATTTGCTGTTCAGGTTGCTAACAGTGCAAATGTAGACAAAATTGGTTGCCAATAATAGTTAAATTTGCTCATCACAAGAGATCCCATCTTTGCAGTTAGTGTGGACCAAAACTCACAGACAATCTGAGACAATAGAAGAACCCCTTATACGGAAAGCACCTAACATTTTGAGCATATCTGCATAGATACTATCTATATGTAGCAATGAAAACATGAACCATTTCTATGCTATTGTGCTTTGAAAAAATTAAGAAAGCCAGTTTCCAACAGTTGCTTAAATAAATGGACAAGATAGAAAATGAGTAGGTTTTTTCCCAGCCTTTCAGTAAAAAGTTGAAAATAATGGTTTACCTTTTCTACATTTTCTTCGTTCAACTCAAGGCCAGTTTCCTCATCTGGTATTGATTCAACAGCAACAACTTCAGGGATCTTTTCCATTAGTCGACGTTCAATGCCCATTTTCATTGTCATTACAGAGCTTGGACAAGAACCGCATGCTCCCTGTAGCTTGAGCTTGACAACATTGCCATCAATTTCATGTAATGCCACATTACCCCCATCTGCAATTAGGTAGGGACGGATTTCATCCAACACGCTCTCAACATTTTCAGCGGTGAGGGGCAATTCAATAGCTGAATCCGGCGTAGCAACAGCTTTTACAACTGAAAAATTTTAAACATCATTAATCATTTACAATCCAATAAAGAACAAGGAAAACTTCACAAGGATAAAAAGACACCATAAACCCGATCCAGTGTAGCAAATACAGCTCATTTTCCATGAGGTAAAAGGTCTTGGCACACTATATCAGCAATGGTAAGAGTAAGCACAGAATATTGAAAGCCATGTGTATTGCTAATAAACAAAAGCTTCGGTGAGAATGAATAGTAGCCTTCAGCAAAACCTTGTTGAGTTATCGTGAGCCTGGAAAAACAGAGACTTGCATTTAATCCTACATAAATTCCTAAAATAAGTTCGGTTCTGATCAATCCTGTGACTATTACTTATGAGTAAGTAAAAACAAAGACCAGTGCCAAATTTCAAACACTCGATACAAATAATCATGGCAGATGTATTAAATACTGAGCAGACTAATTTCCCTTAGGAAATCATGTGAAATGGGGAAT